CGGGGAGAAGGGTGCAACAATGAATGAATGGAATTCCAAAATCTCTGTAGATGTTCATTGAAATGAAAAATAAATAAATTAGAATATTTTTAAAAATAGGAACTTGGTAATAAAAATGACAGTAGATTGCCTAATAGAAATATATGCATATACATATGCGTATACAATATCTACATATAGTCCAATATACACATATGGTCTGATATATACATATAGTCCAATCTATATATATAGTCCAATCTATAAATATATTCTGTTATATTTATATTCTGATATATATATATTTGACTGTGTGGATCATAACAAACTGTGGCTGACTCTGAGAAGAATGGGAATCCCAGAACACTTGATCATGCTAATGCAAAACTTATACTTGAACCAAGAGGCAGTTGTCAGAACAGAGCAAAGAAACACTGCATGGCTCAAAATTGGGAAGGCCATATGCCAGGGATGTGTCCTGTCTCCATACCTTTTCAAACTGTATGCAGGAAAGATCATCCGGGAAGATGGACTCTATGAGGAGAAATGTGGCATCAGGATTGGTGGAAGATCCATAAACAATCTGCGTTATGCAGATGACACAACCCTGCTTGCTGAAACTGAGGAGGACCCAAAACGCTTGCTGCTGAGGGTCAGGGACTACAGCCTTCAATATTGTCTTCAATGTCAAGAAGACAAAGATTCTCACCACTGGACAGACCAATTGGCAGCATCGGGATGGACGGTGAAGAGATTGAGATTGTCCACAGCTTTAGTTTGCTTGGCTCCACAATCAACACTCTTGGCACCAGCAGCCAGGAAATTAAAAGATGTATTGCCATGGGAAAGTCTGCTGTTATGGACCTCTCTAAAGTACTCAAGAGCAACGGTGTGTCTCTGGAGACAAAAATTCATCTGGTACAGGCCATGGTCTTTGCAATCACTTGTTATGCATCAGAGAGTTGGATAATGACTAAGGAGGATAGAAGGAGAATTGATGCTTTTGAGCTTTGATGTTGGAGAAGAGTGCTGAAGGTGCCATGGACTGCTAAGAGAACAAACAAATTCATCCTGGAAAGGGTTAAACCGGTCTGCTCCTTGGAGTCAAGGATTCTGAGGCTTTGTCTGACATACTTTGGTCATGTTGCAAGGAGAGATCTGTCCTTGGAGAGGGACATCATGCTTGGGAGGGTGGCGGGCAGGTACAGAAGGGGAAGTCTCTCTGGGAGATGGATTGAGTCGGTGACTGGGGCCATCGGAATGAGTGTGTCGGAGGCAATGAGATTGGCACAGGAGAGAACAGAGTTTAGAGCTGTTGTACATAGGGTCACTAGGAGTCGCAAGCGACTCGACGGCACATAACAACAACAACATATAGGCTTGTATATATAGTAGGAGAAGGATGGGCAATATCCTCCCATGTGGTTAACTACCTCTGAAAACCCACCAGAGGGGGTCAACTATGAGTCAGTTCCAACTCTATGGTACACAGCAACAACAATACACACACACACACACACACACACACACCTCTCTTGTCTCTTTCCACAGTCTGCCTTTACATCAATAAGCAAGCCGACGCAGGGCCCTATCTAGAGAGGAGGAAGGTGCAACAGCTCCCAGAGCACTTTGGGCCTGAGAAGCCGTCAGCCGTTCTGCAGCAGGCCGTGCAAGCATGCATTGATTGTGCCCACCAGCAGAAGCTGGTCTTCTCCTTGGTCAAGCAGGGCTACGGTGGTGAGATGGTATCAGGTAAGATCCTGAAGCAGGCTGAGTGATGGAGGCATAGAGATCTCTTAAGAGGCAAGAAGCATTGCCAGGCTTGGGGGGGGGGGGGGTGTTTTTAGCCAATAACTTTTGCTGACCTCAGGGTCATCTTAATGACCCTTTGTCCTGAGGTCCTTTTGCAAAACGTGAGGGAAAGATGCTTTCAGACCGGCAAGAATATTGGCCACCTGAAGTGTTATCATTGACTCTTCCCTTTCTCTGACCCACATTATCCAATGCAGCAGTAAATCCTATTGCTCTATGCAACCACCTTTACCACTCACAGCAACCACACTGGTTTTTCAAAAATAGAATTCAGTCATGCTTGACTCGAAGGCAGTCTACAACAACAACAGATGAAGAATAATATAAATAAAGTACAATTAGGATACTTCTAGCTCTGGCTGTCTAGTGGTTAGAAACGGTGTTGTAATACCAAAGGCAGATGATTTTAATCCACCAGACAGTCCATGGGAAAAGAATGGGTATTCTCCTCTGTGCAATTTACCTCCTCTGAAAACCTACTGGAGGGTCAGCAACTGGTCAATTCCATCTCACAGCAAACAACAACAGAGTACTTCCTAGAACTGAGGATGATAAGCTTCATTTCACATACTTTGGCCAAGTTTTTAGGAGGGGGTCAGTCCTTGGAAAAGGACATCATGTTTGGTAAGGTCATCAAAGGAGAGGAAGACCCTCCAGGCAGTGGATTGACACAGTGACTGCAACAATGGGCTCAAGTATAACAGAGATGGTGAGAATGGCACAGGATTGGGCAAGGTTCAGATCTGTTGTACATAGGGTTACTATGGATTGTACTCAACTCAGCAGCACCTAACAACAGTATACAGCATTCCTTTCTAAATCCTCCAATGGCCCCATTTCACTGAGAGTAAAAGCCCACGTCCTTCCAAGGTGACCCTGCCTCTTTGTTCTCCTGGTCACCTCTCCCATCTTTCACTCTGCTTGGGCCAGAGTGGCCTCCTTGCTGTTGTCTCCATATCCCCTGACTTAAGTTCTTTACACCTGTCTCTCTCTCTTCCTGAATGATCACCTGCTGGATGTCTACGTGATTTACTCCTGTACATCCTTTAGGTTTCTATCCAAATGCTCATCAGGGTCTTTTCTTGATCATCCTACATGAAATGTCAACCCTGCCACTCTGTTATCTCTTACTCTACTGTAATCTTGCTTTCATAATACATACCATCATGTAGGACAGGAAGGAGAATTCATAAACTTTACCTTATCTTACAAAGACATTGTTTTGTTAAAAAAAAAATAACAGCCCTCAGGGTCAAGAGCTTCTCCTATGTTCTCTCTAATTTTAGTCCCTTCCCAATGTCTTTGGTAGGGAGCAGAAGTAGTTACCATCACAGAAGAGAGATGAATAAGGAGCTTGGCCTCCTTCCGATATTTGCCTATAGAGGCTCCGTTTTTTCTTGAGGCTGTCTGCATAATAGTTGCCCTGATGCCCTGCAATCCTGGACCTTCCAAGGTATGGCAGTTCCAAGAGACAGCCTGGTACCCTGTCTGACCTAGCACTGAAGACATGACTCCCCTATCACCAAGAAAAAGGTAGATGAGTCCTCAGCAATGGGTCTGACAAATGACCTTGTTGGTTAACTTAAAGAAATAGCGAACCGGGGGGAGGGGGTTAAAGAAAAAAGTACAACAATGAATGAATGAAAATCCATAATCTCTGTAAATGTTCATTACAATTAATAAAAGAAAATTAAAAAAAAGAAATAGTGGGGAGGGGTTGCCTCTAACATGGCTATGTTCCAAAGAGCCAAAGCAGGGGTGTTTTATGTAAATCCAGATCCCCAGAGCTTGGATGAGAGGGGATCAGTCGGGCTCAGCTTCCCCAGTGCTGCTGGAGTCTGCTCATCTAGAATTCCCTATGAGCAAAATGCTGTGGTAATTGGTTAAAATAGATCTTAGCATGATCCCTATCCATGTGTGATTTTTAAGAGTCTTTAGTAGGGGTGAGGCGGAGAAGTAGAAATTTTATATTTGCCTGTAGAGGAGAGCCCTGTTGCCAGGTGTCATGAGATCTTCTTAAAATAGTTTCCCCTGGTTTTATCTGAGAGCCAGGCCCTCACTCCAGGGCTTCTCTTTGAGGTTAAAGACCTTTTGCATCACTGAATGGCTCCAGACACAGGTGTGGGGCTCTGAGAAAACACCTCCCAAACTGTGCTCTCCCATTGAGTGCATCTTGTTCTCATTGTATTCTTTATGGTCTTTACTCCTCAGCTGGGAGAGCTGACCTCGTTTTCCCTGCTTTGTCCTGCTCTCTTACCGTGGTCTCAGGGCCTTGGCAGTAGGGAGGAGTTCTGCAGTTCCTGGCACCAAATCAAGAGTACAGCCAAGCGTCGCCAAGTTTCCCTTGGCGGAGGGAATCCCGCCGAGGCCAGAGCAGAGCACGCTGCCTAAGTATCTGGGCGCACTGGCACCAAGCTGCCTTCTCTTGCTGCCACCACGAGGTACTGGGTGATCACATAGCTCTTCATGGCGAGGATGTGATGCCAAGACTCAGGAAAGTGGTTGAGAGAGGAAGAGAGTTCCAGAGGAAATAATCCAGACTCCCGCTCTCTTCTTAAAGCCTGATCCTTGGGGCCCAGCTTTCCAAATGTTCCCATGTCACATCACACTGGAAAGAGTAGCATTGGTGCTGTTACCATTGAGTCAGGAAGAAAATTGTCAATGGCTGGAAGAGTCTAGGATTCCCTGGGGGTTGGCCCTGTGACCTATCCTGAGGACAGCTTTTGGGGTGTTCTACCTTAGCCAGACTCTCCTAGAATTTAGTTTTCAATTTTTAAATAATCTTCAGTAAAACTTTATTTGCATGTGATGTTACTTATATTGCTCAATAATTTCCACATTTTGCAGAGATATCTGGGTTCAAATTTCATATTACCTGTTTACTACTAATCAGACCTTAAGGAAATCTCTTAACCTTCTCAACCTCAGTTTTCAAACTTAAAAATATCAATGGGCACTTCAGGGTTTTTTTAAAATATATTAATACAGAGCATAGAAGAGCAAAATAGAAGGTAAATTGTAGATATTAAAAAATTATTGACAATTTTCTTCATTGTGATTTAGAGAAATTATGATAGTTACAGAACAGGATTTCAGGTCTTTAATTGATAACGGTCACTGTGAGTCATACTGGACTCAATGACACTTAACAACAACAATAACAACATGATTACAGATAGAAAATTCTGCTGGCAGAGTCCATAGGGAGTACTTCTACTAACCCAAAAGTAGTCCCTCTCTAGAGGTTCAAATCCACCAGCAGCTCCATGGAAAAAGATTGACAGTCTTTCTGTGTGGTTCACAGCCTCTGAAAAATTACTGGAGGGTCAGATATTAAGTAAGTTTTAGCTGGAGAGCAATGAATTTGTTTTGAGTTCAGTGATTAGAGTTTTGTTTTCTTACAGATTTCGTGTCCTTCTCTGAGTAGTGAAATTCTCCCACTTTGTGATCACCTAAGCACAGTGGTTTATGAGCCAAGTCTCATGCTACAAGCTCCTCCTGTGGTGGGTTTAGGTACCACTTAACAGTCTTCTGAGGTACAGGCAGTTTCTGTCTTATGACAGGGTCCATTCTGATGACTTCATTTTTCACTTCATTTTTCATTCTGACATAAGTAAAAATATCCTTCCCCCGCCAAAGTTTTATTTATTCTTTATTATTATTCCCTTTTATTATAAATATCTTCAGAAATATGTCCTTTGTTTTTCTTTGGGAGTTGGAAATGTTACATGTAAATGTACACACATATTTAAAGAAGACACAAATCATAAACATTTACCTCAGTGATGAAGAGTTGGATGAGGCTATTTTGTCAGTTGTAATGGTAATTCCACTTGTGGAAGTTTCTGGATCCTCTAGATTGTCCCTGGGAATGGGGATGACATTTCTCTCCAGAAAATTAATGAGATTTATGTGTATGTGTCTTGTCTTTTCTTCCTTGATCTCCTTCACAGTAACATCTTACTGCCTCCTGAATTTGCCTATTGATTTTAGTGAAGTAATCAGTATCTGGATCCAAATTGCCAAGTAACCAAAGTTCCTAATACTGTTTAGAAAAATGAATTATTTCACCATAAAAAGTTTTATATAATTTCTCTTCTTCCTTTTCCTCCTTATTTTTTTTTCTTCTTCAGCATTTCTTTCCTTGTCAAAATCCATTAAGTTTTGATCTATCAGTTTTCCTTCTCAGTAACCCATGTGCTATTGTACATCATCACTCTCAAGTTATAAATTCAGCTTTTATTTTTTTTGTCACAAGGACCATTTCCCTACTATTTTCAATCTTATTAACATGATCGGCTGGTTGGAGTGTCTTCACATAACTTGGAAATTTTTTTTCTTATCAACTGCATGTATTTTCCCCTAATCATCTCCTAGGGAAGGGATACTGAGAATAAATGTACAACACCCTGCCCTCTATCATTCCAAAATAAATAGTTTTCAGTCAGGCTGTCAAAACTTAAATATGTTGTTAGGGACTATCGGCAAGCAGCAGTGCTCTTAGTGAAGGGAAAGTTCTAGAACATCTGAGTGAATAGGAAACTCTCCTTGGGGAGCCTCCAGGTAGCTCTTTTGCTGGTTCTCCCAAGTTGACAGGCATGAGCCACTTAGAGATTGCATGGCCTAAAAAGCTGCCCCAGGTCCTCCCCTGATTCTTTTACTGTATCTTGGGGTGATGACTTTTTGCCCATTATCCATTATAGGACTAATAGGAGCAATGAAGGAGACAACAGTGGGAAAGTTCTTCTTCGACTCCTGAAAGCTACATGAAGTAAATTTATTCTTTCTTTTTGAAAAATTTATTATTTTATATTGATTTGCATACAAAATTCATATACATTTGTTTCATACTATCTTTTTTAATTTAGGTTGTTTATTTTTCATTTCAGTGAACATCTACAGAGATTTTGGAATTCCATTCATTCATTGTTGCACCCTTC